TTAATATGGCTCCACCTAGCCTGAGATTATTCAGTCCCATGTGTTCTCTATTTACCAGCTTAAAAAAAAAAAAAAATCTCTTCTATGCTTTCCCCAGACCATTGCTCATGCTCTGAATTTGACTGATTGCTGTATCTATCACTCCCTCCTGACCCTACTGCCAAATACTTAACAGATGTTCCTTTGGACACTGAAAAGTCAAACCTTGACCCCCATGTCAGCAAAATGCTGTTGCTGAAGTCACTATAAACCTATTAGCAGAATCTAGTTTACCTGGAGCAGTTCTTGCTGTAAAGGCTAGGCTGATTGGCTGTGACAGCCAGATTGTTCTCCTCAAAAGCACTGCAGGCTGCTTTGCAGGAATAATTTAGGTTTAACCACGGGGTTTGTCCATCACAAGGGACACAAAATTGACTGGCTGCAATAAATGATACTAAACACTCCTAATACAGTTTATGCCCCCAATAGGGTACTACCTCTAATGTGGACATCAGGCCTATACTTGCCTAACAAAAACCAGTCTGAACTCTCTAATGTAAGTGGTTATAGACAATCACATTTCTCTGGACCTCCTGCTGGCCAATGAAGGTAAAATATATTCAAATGCCAGCACCTGTTGCTGCACTGATATTAATAAATCAGGGCAGGTGGAGCGATATATCTCCTACCTTAGAGAGAGAGCTGTGTGGCTCTCTAAGGTCTATATCAGTGGTACCTGAGATGTACTTAGCTGGCTTGGCTCTGGTTGGGAGCTTGTTTGCAATTTAGCCTTCAGATGCGTCTGATCATCCTGCTAGGAGTCAGAGTCATGGTCACTCTCATCTGAGGTAGCCTAAGAAACATAGAAACTATTTGGTTCAAGCCCCTGCAGTTAATCAGTAGAGTTAATTAGGTAATCTAATGGGTGGCCTGAATTCCTGAAAATAATTCTTTCTTGGATACATGAAGGGTCAGGGATGGAGTTACTGAGAGACAGCTCTACTACCACATGGCTTTACATGGCTTTATGTAGGCCAGTCAGGCAAATCTGACCAGAGTCCTCCTGGAATGCCCTGCAATTCCTTCTCGACCAGCGGGAGATAAGCTTCTTGTGCGGAGCTGCCATAAAACCATTTCTCATCCCTCTCCCTCATTTCAGCTGAGCCTAGGACTTTCCATCTAACTCCATCTTCCTTCAAATACAGCTGCAAGCTTCTGTGTAAGTCTAGAAACTGCCTGGCTATAGTTGAGATGGCTTCTCAGTAGTAGATCAACCATCACTCCTGTCTCTGTCACTGGGTCCCTCCAGTTCAGTGTCCTTCAGTGGGACTAGAGATGTGGGGAGGTGACACCATCCTGGTATTGTTTTTGCTGTGCAAGTAATAAATTGTCTAAATTCAGTTGAGCCTGTGGTCACCTTAATGGCTGATGCCACAGCTATTAAGTGTGGCAAACCAACCTAGAAGCTTTTGTTGTGATCCTTGTGGCTCTGTTAGCCACTGCACTGTTGCTTAGGGGCTGCTCAGCCACTTGTTACTTAGAAGGGTAGGATTTTCCCAATCTGAAGAGTGAATTAAGCCAGTATAATTCATGTGAAAAAGTAGGAGTGAGCAGAAGCAAGTATTTGATATATTGGGGCAGCTAAAGGCTGTAGGGATGAAGTAAGTGGAGAGAGATTGAAGACACAGGAAAAAGAAGAGTTTAGTAATATATCAAGGTAGTAGAGAAGAAGATACAGTGACAGTGATGGGGACCAATAGCTTGGTAGAGAGAACCACTCTGGAAAGGAAGACACTCCCTTCCCTGAGACCAAAGAAGCCTCCTTCCTATCCTTTTCTATCATGGCGCTCCCATTCTCTTCTGGTCTATCTCTTACCAGGTCTCCTGACTATCTTGTCCTACTGTCACAACTTTCCCAATTGCCTAAAAATCCTTCAGTAGTTCCCCAGCACCTTCACATTTGATACTAATCACATTAGTATGTACCCTAAGTTCCTTCAAGTTCTGACCTCTGCCATTTTATTTTTAATTTAAAAAAAATATGATTTTTAAAGGTTACTTTCCATTTATAATTATTACAAAATATTGGCTATATTTGTTGTGTTGTACAATACATCCTTGAGCCTGTCTTACACCCAATAGTTTGTACCTCCCACTTTCCCACCCCTATGTTGCCCCTCCCCCGATAACCATTAGTTTGCTCTCTATATCTGTGTCTGCTTCTTTTATGTTTTATTCACTAGTATGTTGTATTCTTTAGATTGATATCATCATCATTCATATGAATGATATCATACAGTAATTTCTCTGTCTGACTTACTTCACTTAGCATAATGCCCTCCAAGTCCATCCATGTTTCTGCAAATGACAAAATCTTGTTCTTTTTCATGGTTGCGTAGTTTTCCATTGTATATGTATACCACATCTCCTTTATCCATTCATCTGTTGATGACCACTTAGGTTGCTTCCATACCTTGACTATTGTAAATAATGCTGCTATGAATATTGGGGTGCATGCATCTTTTCAAATGAGTGTTTTGGGGTTTTTTTTGGTTATATACCTGGGAGTCTGACCTCTGCCTTTCTATCCAGGCTTATCTCCTATCGCACTTTCACACACAATCTTCACTCCAGTTATGTTGAACAACTTACCTCTCTCTAATGGGCTAGGCAGACAGGGCTGCTGTGTATGGTTGTACAGACTACACATGGAACATCTCCAAGAAGTGCCACACATATTGCTGATATTGTCAGTTTGTATAGTTATTAGAACTATTTTCTGGAAGATGGCAGTAGACTGTCCTATTCTAATAAAATCAATATGACAGATTTGTGACAAACAGAAATAGAGTACTACCTTGAAGAAAGTGTCAGTTGTATAAAAACTTGAACAAAGATGTACCTCAAATCCTTGGTATAAGTTTTTATGTTTAGAATGTCCTTCAGCTGCCTTGTCCACCAGCAAACTCCTACTCATTCCACATAAGGAAACTCAAACACTATCTCTCTATCTCTTCAAATATTGTCAGGTATTTTTTATAGCTACTTATCTCGTGGTCTAGAAATATTTGTGGTTCTTATCCCTCCTCTGAATTGTCTAGTAGTGGGTTTTTAATATCCATCTTTATTCATTTTATCCTGAATGAGCACATGAGGTGTTCTGGATCAGAGGCAAATTTCTTATTATCCCACAGTAAGTAAGAACTGCATGCTCCCCTCTCCCAGTTTGCCCCAGGCCTTAACCCCTGGGACAACGAAGTGATGAAAAAGAATGGAAATGTCCTTATATGAGTGGCCAGATACTCTGTGGACAAAGGACAAGGGAAAATGATTTTTCTCTGCTTATAAAGGTAAAGGAGGCAGCTGTGCCCCTCCTCTCCTGGAAGGGTCTCCTCCTTACTCCAGATGTCTTCAAACTCCAGGGCCTAGGAATGTCTTCATTCCTAGTTGAAATTTAAATAACTAGAAAGAAAACACTCCAGTCTCCCCAGCACCTTCAGAACTGACCTAGGTGCCTTTCCCAGGATATAATTTTTTGCTTTGGGGAAGATAAGAGAGGTTTTATTAACCCTTTGGATCATAGCAGTTAGCTCTGTCATTAGGAAAACAAGCAGCTACAGATATAATATTTATAGTATGAGAAATGTATCTAGGAAAAGTGAAAGAAAACATTCTCTGTAGTGCATACATTTCTGTGGCTTAGGAGGCTAGAGCCTCTTACAGGAACACTAAAAAGGAAAAAAAAAAAACAAAAACCCAGGGAAGTTTTATTTTCCCATTTCTAAAGCCTACATGAGTGAGGTCCCATGTCATAAAGATTTCTTCTGATTCCTTCTCCAGGACACACAGCCTTTGTCATTTTGGGAGAGTTACATAAAATCTCCAAAACTATTTTCTAATGTATCCCATTGAGATAATAATAACTATTTTCCAGCATTTGCTGTAGGAATCAAGAGGTAACAAATGACATGTTGGGAGAGCATTCCCCAGTTGCCTTCCATTTTCTCTGGGAAATGGAAAAATGGGTTCCATGAAGGGGTGAATAGGGTAGAGAACATTTGAAATTACCACCATTGGAAGTGGAGAGTGGAGTCCACATAGATAAATTGGACAACATTGATTTATTATGGAGCAAGTCTACAATTTTCTCTCCCTGGCTTGAAAGCGCAAGGAAAGTGGACTCTGAGGATGACCCATGAATGGCGCTTTCTACCAGGATTCAAGAGCAGTGGCCATACAAGGAGAGCTCAGAGCTGAGAACATATCATATTCTGCCCTTTTCCCTCCCACATAAATATATGTTTGCAGTGGAGGTTTGTTAAAGTGAGCACTCAATGATAGCTTGAATAGGAAAAGAGCCTAGGGTGAGGTTTCTAAGTGTGAGGTCTAGCACCATGCTTCTGGAGATGAGAGGCTGTATATCCATACAGAAGCCTCAGGTTATATTTGGTAATAACTGGAAAATCTATCTCTTCCCCTATCAACTTCTTCTGTAATCTGTCTGAGGTCTTCAATTGCCTAAATATATCACATCTAGGGTGAAAGTTTCGAAGGGAGTAGAAACAAAGTTCTAACTTCTAAGACCTTAGAAAATTTTGTAGTTATGATTGCACAAAACTGTAAAGGATGGAGGGTTCAATTATTTTCTCCCCTCTACCTGTTGGGAAAAGCAGTCTGCCAAGGGTCCTGAGCATCTCTGTACATTAATTCTGGGTATGCCAAGGATGCAGAGCCCAGACTACTCTTAACTTGGATCATTTCTCAGGGTTGGATTTGTAGCAAGCAACCTTGAGCAACCAAGTAATAGCTTCCTCCCAAAGAGTAGGATTGCTTACCAAACACTATAAAAGCAGTAAATTCCCCGAGTTCAATATTCCTTGGCTGTGACAGAAAACCACTGAGTATGTGGCAGCCACCTGGACCCCTCCCCTTAGACCCCATGGGATTTTGGGGGCATAAGAAACAAGTGCCAACATCATGCTGATGCTGCTTTGACATATGCTCCTTTGTCTCTAATCCAGGCATCATCTATTTTCTGCTGCCATCCATGAAACAGTAACAGGCCCCAGACTCTTCACATATCCTGAAACTACTCGCCTACCTAAGAGAATCTTGACATTATTGGCATAATCTCCACCAACGTATGCCCTTCCTCCCATGAAAGCAAGCTGAGAGACGGGATGAGTCAAGTAACATAATAAACTTCTGAGAAGGTAAGGGAAAGAGAACTAAAGGAAGAATGCCTTTTTTCATAATCCTTCTCATTATTTGAAATTATATGCTGACTTATTTTATGTCAGTCTCTCCCAGTAGAATGCAAGCTCCTGGAAGTCAGGGACCTTTTTATTTACCACTGTATCTTAATGAGTAAAGTAGTGTGTAGAAATGTTGAGGCTTAATAAATATTTGTTGAGATAATTAACAAATTATCTGGGCCCTGAGCCACCAGTTGGGATGAATTGGTAGTACTCATAATAGAAGTCTGTTTGCTCTTGAGCTGAGTTTAAAGATATTTCTCTTGTCTTTGTGAATCAGCGCCAAATCTTTGTGTTCCTACAAGGTCTTTTTAAAGTCCTTTAAAGAGAATTTCCCCCAAAATTATTTTGCTAATCACCTCAGTCACCAAAGGACATCCCATATGGGGACAGAAAGAAATGAACTCTATTTAGTGAGTGACCATTCAATGCTAGATACTAAGTACGTAGATACTTTGCTTGTGTTGCCTCATTTAATTCTCACAACTCTACAAGATTAGTATACTGATATCTATTTCATATATATGTGTGTGTGTGTGTGTGTGTGTGTGTGTGTGTGTATGAACTTAGATACAAAGAAGTTAAATAACTTGCTTAAGGATACATAACTACTAAACTAGCTTGTTTTTTCTAGTTTCAAAACCCCTCCTCTATTTGCTATAGCATTCTATAGAGTTATAATACTTTACATCTTGTGTTATGGTGAATAGATTTTCCAAAATAATATCTAGGATGTGTATCAGTAGGATTCAGTGCAAAAAAAATAGAAACAATTCTAAGTATTTTAAGCAGGAAGGTATTTAATAAAGGGTACTTTCAAAAATCCATGTCAGGATTGGAGAAGTGCGTTAACAGACTAGGCCTGTAAGAATGAACGATTCCAGCATAATACAGAGTTGACCTATCAGTGGAGCTATTATTGCTGAGGATGACTGGAACACTGGGTTCAGAAACATAACCCTGTGATAGAAGGTGGAGTCAAAAAGCTACTACTCTCATAGCTGCCACAACTGCTGATTGTCTTCCAGGAGGCTGAGTAATAAACTATGGAACATTGCTCTAGAAAAATGTTTCCATGACCTTAATTATAAGAGAAATACAGTCAGAAGTGGTCAGAAGGTTGCCTCAACTTCTCTTATGTTTTCTAAATCTTGCACAAGTATACCTAACTGGCAGACCAAATTCATATCCATAGCTCTAGGTGCAAAGAAGTCTAGGACATTTTTTAAGCTTCCAGTCTCTGTATTATAAACGCCGCCATGAGAGGACGGTAGAATGGACATTGGGTGAGCCAACCTGCAGTACTTAGCCCAGGCAGTATTTGGAGAAATACAAAGACTTCTACAGAGAGAATGGGTTAAAATGTTCAAAACTGACTCTGTCCAGGAAAACCTATATGATATGATTATTTATTTGAACTCCAAACTCCTAACATGCAACTCTTAATGGCTATGATTTATCCTGGGAAAAATGTTCCCTATGCATGTTAAGGCCAAAATGTACACATATCAGAGATGAGAAAATTATCTGTGATGTGGGATCATTACTTTCATTTTTCCATAGCCTTTTGTTTGCTGACACTATTATTGGCATGAATTTTCAGAAGAGGAGGCTTATTTCCAGCAGGCCCCAGGCCTTTCTCTGGATTCTTTTTTGCTCTGATTTCTCATATGCCAACACAATACTCACATAGGAAAGGCTTAACAATTTAGTACTCTAAAGCTTCAAAGACACAGCACATCCAAACATCTTACATGGAGGCCCCAGAGAAGTAAAAAGATTTGCCCAAGATCTCATGGAGACTAGACTAGAAGCCAAGTTCTCTGGCTCCCTGTCCAAAGCTTTTTTTCATCACAACATAACCAAGCCTTGGATTGTATGCTTCCTAAATACAGTGATATTGTGTGTGTGTGTGTGTGTGTGTGTGTGTGTGTGTGTGTGTGTGTGT